CCTGCTACAGGGAAGTGATCAGATGCCAGCAAAGGGCTTGTGAGGGTGTAAACCACCGTTAGAAGATGAAACTCAGGCTCTTGGGTTTACAAGACGCTTAAACCAATGCAGTTTGAATAGTGAAAGGTTTTCTCATCTATTCTGTCATTAAATGTTAAATTGTGCACATCTGAAATTACATGGCATTTTCACACTGTCGTCTTCCATATAAAAACTTGTGGTTTAAATTTTAAAGAATTAAAACTTTTTTTGGGGGGGCGGGGGTCCAGTTGTGGGGCCTGAACTCTGGGTCTGGGCTCTGTCCCTCAGCTCTTCAGCTCAAGGCTAGCACTCTACCACTTGAGCCACAGCACCACTTCCGGCTTTTTTTTTTCTGCTTATTTAGTGCTGAGGAATCAAACCCAGGGTATCATGCATGCAAGGCAAGCGCTCTACCACTGAGCCACCTTCCCAGCCAGAATTAAAACTTTTATGCTTAAATTTTATTTACATTTACCTAAGACATTGAACACTATTTTATTTTTTTTATTTATTTGTATGCCAGTCCAGGGGCTGGAACTCAGGGCCTGGGCACTGCTCCTGAGCTCTATTGAACCACAGCTCCACTTTTGCCTATTTAGTGATAATTGGAAATAAGCATCTTTTAGAAACTCCAGAGGAGGATACTCTTAGGGGAGAAACACAAAGGCTCATTGCCTCTGTGCCTCTGATTATATAAAATAATATTTATCAAAATGAACTCCAGGAAATGGAAACAAGAATTTTTTTCTTTAAAAAAAGTCTCACAGACTTTCTTGCCTGAGCTGGCTTTGAATTGAGTTTCTCAGATCTCAGCTTTCTTAACAGCTAAGATTACAAATACAACCCACTAATACCTGGCCAAGCACTATTTTTAAGTTATTGCATGATCTTTGCGATGACCAGTTCATTATTCTGCATAACAGCCTTGTTATCTTACTGTCTGGATAGGGTTTGGCATGGTGTGGATGGGCCATTCTTAAGCACTTAGCCATCTGTGATGGCTCTGTGTTCAAATTTCTAATTTGTATTTATGGATGGCCAAGATGTTCCTCCACTTCCAAGGCTCATTTCTCATGATTATTGAGCAAAGGATGGACAAGATTACATTTATGTTGAAAGAATAGCAGTACTAACAGTGAATAAATGTGTCCTCCAGTCTTATAGCTAGATACTAGATGCTGGAGAACTAGATGCTGTGGCATCTGTGTAGCCAGATACATTTATGTCTTACAGAAGGGAAGGGAAGCACTGTCCATGATGAAGGTAATTGGCTAGCACTGGGGAAATTTGAGCAACAAAATATTGTGAAAGTAGCACAGGGGTATAACCCTCAGAATAAATGAAATATCCAAAAGTTCATAAAGGAATAATAATGATTCATAAACAAATAGGAGCAGCTTCCTTACAGAAAAATCTCACATGGGAAAATCAGGGAAGAAAAATTACCTTCAAAATCACCACACATGCCATAGCCATGTATGCTAAAAAGAGTAGATAAAATTGAGGAGGAATAGGAGGAAGAAGAGTTGTCCTCACCAACAGAGGGAACAGCTGATACTAAGCAAATGGAAAGAAATGTACATATTGCCTGATTTATAAAAAAATGTTTTATTGCTAAAGGTCATAGAGTTCATAAGCAATGTAGATTAAGATAATGGTGACTATCATTGTGAAGATTAAAAGGTGTAACTTTTAAAAAATATGTGAAAATTACAAAACAGTTTCTTACCAACAAAGGACAAAGGGTGAACCAATGCAATAAAGATACTCATAAGACAATATGTTGGAAATTTACAACTTTTGTGTGGGGGGAGTTGAGAAAGGGAAAGTAGGAGAAAAATGAGGGAGGGAATAACAGTGTTCAACAGAAAATGTACTCATTACCTTATGTACATCACTTTTACAATAAAGTTAAAAAAAATTCTCACCAAGGATGTTTGTAAAGTACAAATAGTAACATTTTTTAAAATTGCATTTTTACATCTTTTTTTAGGTTAATTCCTTTTAAAAAATATTTTTATTGAAATTGAGTGATTACATAAATTTCCAAAATCGTGGGATAGCAATACTTATTTAAAGTCACAAACATATTTTAACCTTCCCAAGGCAAATTGTCGTTGTCATGGTCTATAATGTTTGTGAATTCTATCAGCTTTGACCATGCAACTATTTTTTCCAAGCTGGGTGATATGTACCTTTCTTTTCTTTGGCTTAGTGTGAGCTGTTCCCTCTTTCCCTCTCATCGTTCCCTCCCATTGCTGCCCTTGAGTTGCTTGCTTCGTTTTCATCAATGTCCGATGCAGCTGATGGGCCTCTCTGCTGTATTTTTTTTTCCTTTTTCCCTCTGATTCTGTGCCCTCCTCCTAGCTTCCCTCAGATGTGCACATGTATATGCCATCTAAGAGGTCAAGAACATGGAGTCATCTAGAAATTATATGACAAATTAAGTAGAGATCCTTTGTTTCTTGAGTCCGTTTGCGTTGTTATATCTTCTAACATCCACGTATCAGGGAGACCATGTGCCGTTTGTCTCACTGATCTTGGCTTACCTTGCTCAACATGATTTGTTCTAGTTCCATCCATTTCTCTGCAAATGCCATTATTTTGTCCTTTCTAATGGCTGCATAATATTCCATTGTATGTAGGTACCACAGTTTTTGGGTCCATTTATCTGTAGTGGGGCATTTGGATTGTTTTCATATCTTGGCTATTGTGAACAGTGCAGCAATGAACATGGAGGTGCATGTGTCCTTGTATCCTGGTTCCTGTTGCTCATGGTAGATGCCTAGAAATGGTATGGCTGGGTCATAGGGGAGGTCTAAATTTAGCTTTCTGAGGACCCTCCAGACTGCTTTCCAAAGTGGTTGTATTAGTGCAATAGAGTTCTTTCTCCACATCCTTGCCAGCATTTGTCCTTGGCTGAATATAGGATGTGGGCCATTCTGACTGGGGTAAGGTGGTATCTCAGGGTTGTTTTTATTTGCATTTTCTTTACAACCAGGGATGATGAACATTTCCTCATGCCATTTTTATCTCTTCTTCTGAGAAGTCTCTCTTTAGTTCCCTTGCCCATTTAATGATTGATTGGTTAGATTTGGGAGGGATTCGTTTCTTGAGTTCCCTGTATATGGCCTTTTGTCTAATATATTGCTGGTAAATATCTTTTCCAAATTGCTTGGCTGTCTTTGTAGTTTGGTAGCTATGTCCTTTTTTTTCCCCATGGGGCTTGAATTCTGAGCCTGGGCACTGTCCCTCAGCTCTTCAGCTTAAGGTGGGCACTCTACCACTTGAGCCACAGCACCGCTTCTGGTTTTCTAGGGGTTTATTAGAGAAAAGAGTCTCATGGGCTTTCTTGCCTGGGCTGGCTTTGAAATGTGATCCTCAGATCTCAGCCTCTTGAGTAGCTAGGATTACAGGCGTGAGCCACCAGCGCAGCCCAGCGGTAGCTATGTCTTTAACTGTGCAGAAACTTTTTTATTTTAAGGTAGTCCCATTTGTCAAATCTCTTCAATTTGTTGTGATCCTGGGACTCTGTTCAGGAAGTTCCTGCCTGTACCTATAAGTTCAAGTGTTTCTCCTACTCTGTCCTGCAGTAGTTTCAGAGTTTCTGCTTTGATGTTGAGGTCTTAATCCATTTAGAGTTGATGTTAGTGCATGGTGACAGGCTAGGGTCCACCTTTAGTTTTCTGCATGTGGCCGCCCAGTTTTCCCAGCACCAGTAGTTGAAGAGGCTATGTTTCTTCCACTGTATGTCTTTGCCTCCTTTGTCAAATGTCAGCTGACTTTAGGTATATGATTTTATTTCTTGATCTTCTAATCTATTCCATTGGTCTTCGGGTCTGTTTTTGTGCCAGCACCAAGCTGGTTTTGTTATTCTGGCTCTATAGTAGAGCTTGAAATCTGGTATTGTGATCCCTCCTGTGTTGTTTCTTTTGCCAATAATTGCTTTGGCTATTCTAGGTCTTTTGTTGTTCTATGTAAATTTTTGGATTGTTTTCCCTATTTCAGTAAAGAACATCATTGGGAATTGCATTACATTTGTATATTATTTTTGGCAGTATGGCCATTTTCACAATATTGAGTCTGCCTATCCAAGAGCATGGAAGGTCTTTCCATTTCCTGGTGTCCTCTTTTCTTTTTTCTTTTTTTTTTTTGTCAGTTGTGGGCTTGAACTAAGTCTACATCTTCTACTATCTTCCTGAAAGTACTAGGGTACTGTATTAGGTATTCAGATTTCCTCTGCAGAACTTGGCAGCTATTTATCTTTTTTAATTTAATGAGGCTAAAAAATTCCCACCCTTTTATTAACCTTTCTCCTCCTTTTCTGGTATGCTATTTTAAGATCATACCTGTTTATAAACCACATTTAAGTGAGGATGGAAATATTTACTCATTAATACAATTTTCATTCTCTAGTAAAAGCAGAATGTAAACTAAAATAAACTATAGTGTCTCGTGTACATGCCAAAGCCATGTAAACTGCACAAAATAATTTTCTTGATTGCAGTTGTCAGCTTGCTCAGTTTAAAGAAGAAAGACTGCTTGTTTCTTACACACATGGAACTAGTAACTGTGTGGCCTGCACATAGGCTGTCCACCCTCCCTAGTACCTCGCCTTGGTGACAGTACAGTGCTGGTGCAACCTAGAATGTACTTTATAGCTCAGGCCTAGCCACCTCCCTAACCTATAAAGCAGTGTTCAGAGAAAGCCAGCAGGCACCAAAGTGTATGCATCTTTGAAAGAGCTAGGCCTGGAGGGTTTCCTGTGGAGTAACGACTATAAGAAAGGTTATCAGGAACAGGCTCCTAGAGGTCTACTGGGCAGTTTTTGGGTGGTGCCCAGAGACTCTGTCTAGAGGTTCTTTGTAGAATGATGACCATTATGAGGGCCAGTTGCTATCAGGTTTTAAATGAAATCCATATATGTTTTAAATAAATGCAGTAAGGTATTTCTTCTTTCTCTTGTTAATTCTTTATAGTGTTTGTTGAAAAAGTGCTGAAGAAACTTTTCCCTAATGTTCCAAGTGGGCAAGAAAAAGACACACTCCAAATTCTGACCTCAGAAACACCACCTAAGAAAGTGACCTCTAGAAAAGCAAAACACAAGCATGTTCATCATCTGACAGGTAAGGTTGTTTGCAAGTAAGGATAGATTATAAGGATCTGGTTTTCCCCAGTAATCTACACTGCCACTAGAGAATCTATCCTTCTGGCCTGTTGTTTCTCTTTGTTGAATGACCTTTATTTTCTATTATTTAATTAATTTATTGCTAGAACTAGAGCTTAAATTCAGGGTTTGGACACTGCCCTTTAGTTTATCAAGGCTAGCACTCTACCATATGAGTTACAACTGCACTTCCAGCCTTTTGGTGGTAATTGGAAATAAGAATCTCATGTACTGACCCAATGTATAATGAATGCCTATGGTGCTGTTCTGGTTTTGGATATCAGTTGATGTAAGATAAACAAGAAGGAAACCATATGTGTGTGTGTGTGCATATATATATACATATATATATATATGTATATATATATGTGTGTGTGTGTGTATATATATATATATATACACATATATATGTGTATATATGTGTGTGTATATATATATAAAGTATATATATATGAGATGAAAATATTTGGAACACTGGACATATTAGTAACATTTTAGTTGCAGCACATGAGTATGCTTGATGAAAGAAAAATTGATGTTGGACTTTATTAAAATGAAAAATTTCTGATCTATAAAAGACAGTCAAGAAAATGAAAGGACAAGGTACATGCTTATAAAAGATACTTGTAGGGCTGAGAAGGTGGCTCAGTGGTGGAGCGCTTGCCTTGCATGCATGAGGCCCTGGGTTCGATTCCTCAGCACCACATAAGCAGAAACAAAAAAGCCAGAAGTAGCGCTGTGGCTCAAGTGGTAGAGCGCTAGCCTTGAGCTGAAGAGCTGAGGGACAG